AAGGAGTTTTGCTACAGAAGCAGATATGAAATTAATATGTTATTCATATGGCTTTTTTACTGTATCATTTAAAAAACAACAGCAGTGAAAAGCAGGAAACAACATGCTGATAGCTGAACACACCGCCTTCAGATTAAGGAATAAAACTGCACTTGGAACTCATTTAGGCCTACCCACGTAACAATGTTTCTTCCATCCTGTTTTAAACCAACTTAAAGGTCCAGTGTGTAACATTTTGGAGAATCTATTAGCAGAAACTGAATATAATATTAATAGCTATGTTTCCATTAGTATGTATCACCTGACAATATGAATCTTTTCTTTTGTCACTTTAGAATGAGGGAGCGTGTCCTCTTCCACAGAGGCTGCCATGTTAAACCGCCATGTTTCTACAGCAGCCCAGAACGGACAAACCGAACACTGGCTATAGATTGGCAATTGGATTTTTGTGGCCAACCTGCATGCTATGTAAGGGGAGCTATATTCAGTTTGTTGAAGTCTAGAACTTCTGCAGCTCTATATCTTGCAATTATCTCCTCCCTGTGACTCACAAATTGCAAAACACACACTACAAAAGATGAATCACTCGATCGAACGAGCAAAAACCCGAACAGTAAATTCTGTGCACTGAAAGTTCCTTCTGAGAAAAGTGGTTTAGCGTCACCATAAATGATGAAGTGACATTACACAGTCAGGTTTACATCAGGTCTACTAAGACCTCCTTAAGCAGTCACAGGTGTTTTATCACATTTACTCATTAGCAAGAAATGATTGATCAATACCATATGACCCATCAGTAAACATAATATGCCTTCAAAAACACACATTCCTACCAGACATAAGGCGTATAAAATGTAGGCAATTAAGTACCATCATACATTGTAATGGTAAAAACAACAAAGGGTGAAGTACAAAAGCAAACCTAAGAAGATGGAATATCATAAAATTTCAAGGATGGGAGACAAATTTTAATCAAAAATTCACCTTCTCCTCCTCTTCCTCCAAATGTGCGATTTTGATCACCATGTCACTGACTTCCTGACAAATACAGAATTCGAAACAGCAGGTGAGAAAACAGTCTCTCCACAGTGTGCATTTAGTTGTCGTCCATGCATTAGAAGTACTTAAAGTCCTTAGAAAAATGCAAATTTCAACATTTACAGTTAGAGGTAAACTGGGAAAACTCCATTTGCTGATGACAATTATGGGATTGGAAAACGTCTGAATAGCTACTAAGTGGAAACTGAGATCATTTTACGGTTACTACCTTGTATTCTCAAAAGTAAAACAAATGACTCCTGAAAATATAGGTCACAGAATCATCTGAATAATTATAGTAATTCTGAATATTGTAAGTGTTTACCGTCCTGACTGAATGAGATTAAGTAACACCGTATCTCTACAGTAGGTGGATGCATCCCTTCCTCTGTGGAAATGGACGTAAATGCCCTTGACTAGAGGTTAGATTTCACCCTGGTTGTTAATCACACAGAAGTGCAACGTCAGATCTATTGACTGCATAGTGCAATGGTGTGCATTTTGATGGCCTCCTCTGACTCCCTCACTCTCTTTCCCTATGCGTAGCTCCTGTCTCCTTAATATATGTCACCCGCCTGGCACACTTGATTATGCAACAAGCTGCACCACTGGTCAGAAGCCTGGGGGGAAAAATGTGTGACATGCTGACCATGGTGTATGTCAAATCTGTTGTTATGCGCTGAACCATAAAGAATTAGCCCTGAGTCTTTTGCCCTCACCTTATGTGTTCAATAAAATCCATTTAAACACCAATGTGCCATCGGTTTCTCATGTATTTCATGGGGGACTCCGTTGTCCGATATCTGACATAAATCTGATATGACATTTAAGTTTGTGACCTTGACAAACACTGCTGCAGACGATGACCTTGGGTTATATTACCATCATTTTATGAAAGCATGTGTTCTGGGAGATGAAACATGCAAGTAAGCGTGGTCACATCTGTGTTACATGATGGTACCCAACAGGATCTTTCCTCTCTCACCCAGCTGTCACAACACCAAGTGAAATGAAAAGATGCAACACAAAGGCAGCACTAGTGGGATAACAAGACTGTGGAAATAGGAAGCTGCACTGAAATAGCAATGGGGGATACAGCCAATTATTACTTCCAAGGCCACAAAGCAGTTTGTGGGTTTCAGGTTACATTAAAAAAAAAAATCCATATTTCGTATAGCTAATCCACCTGTTATCCTCATTATAATACTAGGACTAATAGCTCTACAGCACAATACAGGAGCAATAGTGTTTATTAATTTCCTTCCTGGATCATGAACTATGACTGTGACTGTGTTTTCAAAACCCCAAACCGGGAACCCTTACTGCACATCATCTGCACTCGTGCTCATGTATGTGCTGACAGCTAATCGTTAGCATAATGACAGATTCTGTCAGAAAGAGCCGCATAGCCTGTGACTCATAGACTAACAGCCTTGACAATGACAAATTGATTGGAACACAAAGACAAATCAGTGTTGAATTCAGATGCTTGTTGCATTGTTTATGTATATTGGATTAGGTAACATTGGGACAGAACATGAAACGTCTACATAAGCGCTGAAAACAAGAGTAATATTATAGTTAATTTTAAATTGTGGTTAAAACTGTAAATTTTGAAACCGGGACATTTTAGTGTTTTACAGATATATGTGGGGACTTGGGACGCCCAGCTTGAAACCGAGACAATCCTAGACAAAACAGCACATCTGGTCACTGTAAACTAGTGAGGATGTTGACTTTTTTGCCTGTGACATGTAGTTTTAGTCTCAGCCTTTTCGCACTGTATCATGTGCTGCATGTGCTGTGCCAGAAAGCGTGACAGGCACAGCAACACTATAGGGGCAGGGTTCAGCAAGAGGTTAACTATAGCAAACATCTCAAAATGACACAGTTTTCTTAAAAGGGTACATCTGATAGGCAGAAGTTCCTCATACTACACAAGCTTGACATAACAAAACTGACTGATACTCATTGCTTATACAGGGTTTTGTAGCTGGTTTGACCACAGAGGGAATAAACATCACTAGTTTGATCTCCTCTTGTCTCCTGCAGCCACCAAAATAGCTGACCTTTTGGGGCGACTGGTTATGAAACCTTTCCCAATGTCGCCAGTAGCAATTGCATGTGAACCTAAACAAACTTTTCCATTCTGGTTTGTATCAAACAGTTTGTTTAATCCATTATTGATTCTGACTAGTCAGTCTGGCTAGTCAGACAGACATTTGAGCAGTCGATAGCTCTTATTTTTATTGATATTTTGGAGGGCACATTCTACATTGGGGTAACTGAGGGCACACTGGGAACTGCGGATGCACTGGGGACAAGTCCAGCTCTATTCAGAGCTCTGTGTGGTCAAGCCAACTTTTTCTGTACATAAGAGACGCACACACATTCCTCAACAGAGCCTCAAGACCAGCTGAAAAAACTAGGTGACACCCACCCTCAAGAAGAGGAGGTAGAAAGCTCTGTTGATTAAAATCGGTCTCATCTTCCTGTCAAGGGTTTATAAGAGAGGCGAGAAGTCAAATGTTGCTCACACTTCACAGAGGGTGAAATGCCACTGCTGATTAAAATCTTGAGTACACTGAGGTGTTTGCAGCATTTAGGCCCACACATGATGATAAAAGATCATCACCACTGCCCACCATCTGATTGGTGTTGGCACTCAAAGTTATTAGTCACATATAACAGAAATTAAAAATATCATGAGGAGGTGTATTGTGTGTTTTTTGGAGTTTTTTTCCCCCATATGTATCAGTCTGAAATTGCAAATATTACTGATAAACTAAAATAAACTCACATAAATAGGATTACTTTGCAGGAATATAGGCTTCCCCAATGCTGAGGGTGCAGTACTTTGGATTAAAAGCAGCTGACATTTTATTCTTAGCAAATATTTTCACAAGTACTTACAAACTTCAAACAAGTAGAGGTACTGTTTCTAAAATAGCTACACATAAGGCCGTGAAAGGAAGAAGTAGACTACATTTACTACGTCTACTTAAGTAGAATTTAGTGGTACTGCATTACACCACACACACTAATCTGTATTTTTTTGACAGCTGTTACTTTACTGAGAAAATGTGTCATAGAATAAAAAAATAAGATGGTTGGTCAAAGATATATGAGACGATTTACCGTATATAAAGCTAGCTCACCAAGATAGCTTAGCATAAAGACTAGAAGAAGTATAACCACAACTTGTCATGTTTACACTTTGTGTAACATCTTGATTGTTTAAGATGTAAATTAACCATTAATTTGTGGATTTTAGAGGTGCTGGTAGGTGGATGTGTTACATTTGGACAGAGCCAGGCTATCAGTTTCCCACTGTTTCTAGTCTTTATGCTAAGCTAAGCTAACTGTCTCCTGGCTGTGGCTTCATATTGACAGACATTAGAGTGGTATCATTCTTCTTCTCATTTAACTCCTTGCAAGAAGCGTCTTCCACCACCTCCACATATTCCACGCGTACTGTGGCTGTTTGCATAGGTGCACTGGAAGGTTGATAACATATAATTTCTTTGGTACAATTCTTTATCAGTGACTTTCTAAGTTTATAAACCACACCAACATGAACCTCATGCCTATCTTTAGGGAAATTGAAAGGTGCATGTTCCTGTCTTTGAGATGAGATAATCAGTCAGTTAACAACATGCCATAAAGCCACATTGTGCTAAAATGCAAATACTTAGATATGAGATACATACAAATCTAACTTCGACCAGCATGTCATTTGGGATTGTGTAATTCTAATCTTCATGGGGTTTCAGGTGGAAATTGAGTCACTAAGGGGAACAGCTGATTGAACAGCTGACAGCTTCTATACCACAGAGCACTTAAATAAAATACAGATCTCAAAAAGGTAATAATGACAACAAAACATAATTATAAAACAGCTAATATAGGGAATTTGCTTAATTATATAGAGAGAGGTAAAACAGATGGACACTTGACACTTGTTAGTCATAAAATATATTTATTCAACTAGTAAAACATCCACTTCCAAAGTAGAACACAACACATACTCATGGGATAGCCCTAACAGGGATGGGAATAAGGCCTTTTTATTTTTCATATTCATTACAATCTTTTTGGAAATGCATCACTTTTGCCTTTATCATCTTTAATTTCAGAAATGCATACATGGTCTTTTATTCTGGGGCTATAATCTTCATTTCTGTCTTGAGTTTGTTGGTAGGATAATTTCATCCTTGGATTTGTGCGATTGTGCGTTTAAAGCTTTAGCACTGAACACAGGGGGGTTTCAAAACAACACATGAAAGGATTTGTTACACATTCCATTTCATTTTGAAAAGGCGGATCATTCCTTTGTATTGCTATATTATCAGGACATCAAAAATGCAGATGACCTTTTGGGTACAAAACACAATTTAGGAATCACAATATTTTGCATAAGCTGTCAGGCAAAAAAAAAAAGACATAATCCATAATAATAACAAAATCACAACACAGGATGACAAACACATGAAAGATTTGAAGATTAGGCTGTAAAAACATTAAGCCATTGTCATGATGTTCAGTAGCTAGCAGAAGTCTGTCCTCATGTCCTTTGCTGCTTTAAACTAAATTTAAATCAATAAGCAGGTCAGTGCCTATAGGCATCATGTCTGCACCAGACTGTGTATGCAATGTTGTGTGTGTGTGTGTGTGTGTGTAGGTGCCAGAGGGGGATTTTCTGAGTCAATCAGTTGTGATGGAGGCGGCTGCAGCATTTCATTAAGCTGCTGTGATGCAGAGGCTGGCAGTCGGTCAGAGATTACAGACAGACTGGCAACGGAAGTGTATGTGTCCTGTGTGTCTGTGTGTGCATCTTTTTGTCTGCACCTTACCCTCCTCACAGATGGTGACATAGTTTCATCCTTCCCCTGTCTACTGCAACTAGCTTGTGCTTTCTGCTTCCTGCTGACTCAAGAGCACCATTTTGACTTAATTCATCTTCATTTTACATCCTTGTGGTGTTTGTTGGACAAAGAAGACCTGCACACGCCGGCGTAATGAAAACATTGGCACCAGATGCTAAATCGGAGTAAACGTGTCGCAGTCACCGTGAAGTGTTTGACTTATAGAATAAATTATGACAGGGCATCTTTGCTGGCTTATTACACACATACAAAAAGAGATGCAACCCCTGCAAGAGCTCCATCTCACAGTTAGACTGCCCCGCAATAAAAGCAACGGGCCACAGGAATTTTAATTCTTCTAAAAATTGGACGGAGAGAGATATGTGTGCTTTGTGGCTCACTGCTAAAGAGGTAACTCTGGGTGTCTGACTAAAGGAAGGGGGAAGGGAAAGGGCAACAGGGCAGAAAGGGTATAAGAGGGGGAGGGGGTATTACTGGAAGGAAGCACGGACAGAGCGACCCTTGAGCGGCTGGGGAGGGCGGTAGTTGTCCACCATGCAGCACTCGGCCTCACCCTCAGCAGAGAAGAGCAGGCTGCGGAATTTGGCCATCTGTGAAAACGGAGAAGACGGTCACGTTAGTCATTCCTGCTGACCTCCTGTGACTGTCACTCAGCAAACACATCAGTAGTCTCACCGCTGAGTCACTGACTTGAGATCAGAGCCTTGTACTGGGGAATTAAGTTTAGCAGTTGTTCTGTTGATGCGTACAGAAACAGTTCGACATTTGAGAAAATACGCTTATTAATTTTCTTGCCGAGAGCTGGGTGAGAAGATTGATACCACGCATGCCTGTACACTAAATATGAAGCTACAGCTAGCAGCTGGTTAGCTTAGCTTAGCATGACTGTAAACAGAAAGAAACAGATAGCATGGCTTTATCTAAAGATAACACAATCTGCCTACCACAACCTCTGAAGTTCACTAATTAAAATGTTTCTCGGTTGTTTAATATGTCCAAAAACCAAAGTATAAAAACTACAAATTCTGGTTATTAACTGTTTCTTGTCGTTACGCTAAGTTTAGGCTAACTAACTTCATATTTAGAGCACAGACATGAGAGTGGTATTGATCTTCTCATCTAATGAATAAACATATTTTATTTTATTACTACTTTAAGTAAAAATACTCCATTTGTAATAACGTCAAGTTGTGGTTGTACAGAGGGGTTACATTACTTTACGTTACGTTACTTAGTGGGCCTCACAGGTGCTGGTAGGTGGATTTTGTTACCTTTCTACAGTGCCAGGTTACCTGTTTTCCCTGTTACTCATGTCAAAATAAGGTAAACAGCTTCATAGTGCAAATAAGTGTATTTACTAAAACGTCCAACTGTCCTTATGTAAGTCAGGCTGGGACAGAAAAACAAGTCAGTGGCTACAGGATGGTGTCAGGGATTTGTCATTAACTCTGGATAATGAATTAGTCCATGGTTACTAAACTGCTTCAGCTACTTAAGTATAATGTACACAGTGAATTACTTCAGATTGTGGGAGTATCCTCTCACAATCACCTAAAACCAAAACATGAACTAATGACATGTATTTATTAATTTTTTTCAGATTTATGAATGAGTTCTTTGTCATTATCTGCTTGACCAGCCTTATAGTGCACTAAGTCTAAAGGTTATGTCTACACGTCTCATATGTTTACCCTCGAGGGACATGCTTACTGCCATGAAATAAACATTTGACCAGGCAGAGTTCATTTTCACATGAAAATGAGCACTGGTTATGAGGGCAAAGCTGCCTACAGCGGCTGTTAGTTTAGATATGTGTGGTTATAATTCAAATATCAATTTCAGTGGTGCACTTAGGTGTAATTATAGAAGTTAACACTAAGTAAATGAAGATCAGCATGTGTCAGCTGTGTTTGTGGATGAAATTACACACTCTATGAAGCTGCGTCTTTTTACCTACAGAATATAATGTATGTGTGATTTCCTGTTGACTCTCCACACTGAAACAGAGAGATAGTGTGGTCACCAGGATGTGTGTGAACTCTGGTTTGTGCTCGTTCTCTTGATTTGCCAAGTATCTCTTTTTCATTCTGAAAGTGAAATAGGCTACTGTATTGCCTTTCCTCCCAATGCAGAGGTTTCTTCTTCTTGTTTCAGCTGCACAGCTAATCGGAACAAATAAGCCTTTGATTAAGATTGTAGTATAAGAGAGGATTTGCAGACAGGGCTATTCTAGGCCGTGGGCACGCAGCCAATCTGCTACCACTGAATGGGCTCTGTGAGCAGCCATACCTGCTCAGAGGTGACACTGATTGGTTCTTTGCAGACAATCCAGGTGACACTCTCCAGCAGAGGGGGTGTGGTCAGAGAGCCGTCATATGTCCAGTAGTCGAGGCAACCAGGGAGCAAGGTGGAGGGGTCGAAGCCAGCGAAAGTAGTCTGCTTGCCCTGAAAACAATAAAGAAAGTGAAAGGAAGTGAAGAGGTCAGTCAAAGACCTTAACATACACAATCAAATGCAAGACAGTATGGTTTTTATAGAAACATACTTTGGCCTTGATGGCATCAAAGGAGTCCAGCACCTTCTGGAGACTGGCATTGGCATCACCAATCTGAAAAACAATAATATACATAATGCTTAAGGTGAATCATCAGCAAACAATACTATCCATTGCAGTAACTAAACTATGCACTGTGGTATAATTACTGTATGGTTGAACAGTTACTACTGACCTGCAGGAATACTCCAACAACAGCAAGCCCATCAGGCTGCTTAGCAGCCTCACCAAAACTTGGGTATTTGGTGTTCCAGTGCACCAGGTGGAGCTGGGAATAAAGGAAATAATCAAAAATCAACAAAAATCTTGTCATTTTCTAATCTGGTAACTGAACCTTTAGCGCAATTAAATAACGTAAACAAACTTTGGAGCGTCCGTTCTAGCTCATTTTGCTTCAAAAATTATTTTTGATCAAGATAAGGGTTGGGGATAAAAACGTAATGATGTAAGACAACAGGTTGAGTGGAAGTAAGTGACCTGGAAAAGGAAAGGAAATAAGTTCTCTACTTCTAATCCGAGAGTCAGGGAATGTTTTTTCTCCACCCATGATGGTTTACTCCAACCAATGAGATTATTTCTTCCTTTAGAGCAATTTTGCACTTGAGAAATGTTAACAAATATAATAAAAAATTCTAATCTGCCTTTTTGCCTTTGCATGTCAGCCTCAGTCAAACTACTATTATGATCATCCTAATGGCTCTGAGCATCCTTACCTCTGCAGGATACTTGGTCCCTGCCACAGTGTGTTCAGAGCCTTTGTCATCAGAAGCTCCCCAGTGGAAGTGAAACTGCTTGAGCCTGTAGATCCCTGAGATCGGTCCGTCTGTCAGAGCTGCAAGATAAACACACATCTCCCATGAGTTCAACCCACACTGAACGTGGGTGGTGCTGAAGTCAGCACTGACTGTGCAACACTCATAGAAAATGATAAAATGAGGTTTTAAACATGCTACTTTGAAGGAAATATCTGAGCAGAAAATATGAAAAGACAAGGAATAGGTTAACAAGATGTGGCACAGGCCACGTAGACACTCCGGTGGCAGACTTCCTAGTCTGGAAGCAGACTCAGTTCCTGTTGTGTAAGCTGGTCAAATTGAGGGTTACATTCATTCCAGGTATTGTTAACATCAAACCTCCTTCCAATGTTACATAATGTATCTATTTGCAGTTTAAAAAGTAGTTGAAACAATAGCAGATAATCCTGTTTGTTCTATTTCTGGTGCTATGTTATAAAATGCTGACTGACACACACACACACACACTGAGCTCTCCAAACAGGATATTTGTTTCTCAGTAGTTGGACTTGAATTTTGAGGGTGTGTAGGATTTAAAGAGATTACTAAAAATAAATAAAAATAAAGAGGCTTCGGTGTTTTCCACTGTGCACACACATGATGCATGACATGATGTATGACAGACTGACATGGAGACTTAGCTTATCCTTTATTTAGAAGGGCAGGGTGGAAAATAAGTGAAATACTGAGAGGCTCTAACTCATAGCTCCTATTCTTGGCTAAAAAAGTGCCTTTGTTTTTTTCATCTTGATGTGTGTCCACTAGAAATAATCCATGTGATTGTGTTGATTATGTAACCATATTCTGCATTATCCTCGGATAAGCTAAAGGACAACCAGTTCCAAAATCCTAAACATAAAAAAGGACAAGCAATTGTCTTTTTTTGAAATCAAATCGTATATGAATGGAAATGCAATTAAACAAAATTGAGGAAAAACGAATGCAATCTCGATTTTATTTTATAGGGGGCAAAAAAATAAAAAATCAATGGTAGGCCTATTTTATGGTAAATCATTCCCACGCACGTTTGGCGCATTAATAGTTAAGCAAGCCAGGGTTTGTTTGCAGAGTAACCTTCGTTTTTTGCGCTTCTGACCTTACTGGAAGCAGAAAAGAGTTGGCGTGGGAAAGGTTTACCAGGGGTTACATTACCAATTCAATTAGTATCTGCATGCTTTGTGCTCGGCTTTTGAATGGAACCCCTGCAGCCTATTCAACATTTCTTTTATTAAAAAAAATCAAGGTAAAAAAACATACAAATGTAGTCTGATGAAATAAAATCAAAATCTATGTCCGTATGTTTGATCACTATTAACAAACCTATTATGGAAACAAGGGCGCATGACTCATGCATCCATATAAATATTAACCTAATATTAACATGCTTGAGATTTATAATGTGGAGATTGTTAGAGCTGCAGTATGCACCCGAATGCCGCATTTTGAAGGTTACTGCATTCTGTAAATCACCACCGAGATCTTCTTTGTTTGTGAACCGTCCAATAATCGTACAGTTCTTCTATTATATCTACAAAACATTGCGATAATAACTGAAAAAAATAGGAAAGTGTTGTGTTTTCTCTAGGTTAAGACTAAACACTACAATGCAAATGTATTAATCAGATTGTGGAGCTCCCCTGAGCGGCTCCATTCATACAATATCAATGTCACACTAACTTGAGCTGTCGGTGTCATCTGCGAAGGTCACTTGGAAGGAATGTCCGTTGTTGAGAATTTCAAGGCAGGTGGAGGGGTCGTACTTCAGGTTGAGCGGCTTCAGTCCTGCGTCGTATGATGCTTCACCAGGTACGATGTCAATGGGAGACTGGCGGGGTCCATTGGCAATAGGGAAATTACCAGCCCACTTGTCGGGTCCTAAAAATGATATAATAATAAAACTGTGATTATTAGAGTATTAATCTGAGAAATTTACTCTTTTATTAAACAAATTGCGCGTTCAGGGATGGTGATGTGCTTAAAACGCGCGTAAAAAGCCCCCCAAATATGCAGAAATAAAAAAATATCTGCAGTGACCCGTGCTTCTATTCATTCAGCACACTGCCGGCTGGCATGACTGGTTTTTATCATTCCTCTCAGTAATGTCACCCCTATACATTATAAGCATGTACGTGCAACGAGCGCCTCACCGTTGTCTGCTGCGTATCCCCAAGCATGAGACATTGTTACAGTTTGGATTTATGAATATCTACAGCCGTAATCCCCTAACGCGAGTCGTTCCCCTGCGCAAAGCAGCCAGTGTCTTCCACCTGACAGCTGCAGAGCTTATATAGGGTCCCCGTGTCCATCAGGCTGTTGTTGGCCACATGATGTTCGCGCAATGACCGGGAGGAGTTTAGATGCGCTGCAACGCTTCAGCACAGTGGATCAATGAGTCTCTCCCTCTCTCTCTCTCTCTCTCTCTCTCTCTGCTGCTGCGGGGGTAAAGTCTTCATTGACACACTACAGTATGATGAGCTGGATAATATATTCCTAGAATCACAGTGCTGCTGAACGCATTTTCACCTCTCAGACAACGGGTTAAACTTGCCTGTCATGTCAGAAAGTAACGGAATTACGCTACAGCATGGGGCATAGTGTCACCTTCAAACTGAAACTCGGCTTCAGCTGTGACATGAGCTTATATGAAAGAACCACTATGGAAACACAATAACAGTACCGCGCAAAAACTGAAATCTGAAAGGTAGATGAGCCTCAAATACAAAAAAGTTCATTAAAATATCAAAAAACATACCTGTTAGTGAGGTATTTGCATTGCCAACAAACATGGGCCTTAATTTAAATGACAGTGTAACATTAATGGTAACAATGGTTGTTTCAACATTGTAGTTTATGGATTCTCTAAAAAAAAGATGAATCTTTCCCCTATACTGGAGTCAGCTAGGAGATCTTAAGATGGATCTCCGAGGTAATAAAAACAAAAAAATAAAAAAAGTATTATTTTCTATAGGAAAATCATACACACATGTTGAATGAGAAACATAACGTGTCTTTGGAAACGACAATGAGCCCGCATGGTTCTTGCACAGCTCTGCGAGACAGATAACACAAACTGAAGGCCTGCTGTACATGATTTTGTTTATCAGTGATGGTGCTGCAGCAAACACATCTGAGGTGCTTTACGTGTAAAAGTGAGCCAACTCAGTGTCTGCTGATATAGAAAATGCCTAATGGGCTGTGGCACAACATATTAATATTACCCATATGCTACTAACATGCCATACTTTGCATTAACAGTATAAGAGAGCTTATCTTATTCTCCAGTTTGGCTGCATCCTAGTGGTCAGTGCAGCTCAGTGTACAATGGTAGGCTCAGTTTTTCAGAAAATCACACACCTGTAACGAACACAGCTGTGGTGGTACCGTGGTGCCATCTGCTGTTGGCCTATAAGACCTGTAGTTAAAGGAAATTGTTTCAATTAGTTTGTCTTTTTCGTTCATTTTTCTTTTTTCGCCTTTTGATTTGCAAACAAACTTAACAAACGGAAAGGAACTGACTTTTAATTCCGAATAATGTAATTACATTAATGGATTAAGATTATTTCAGAATAATCTATTAAGTGGTGGAATGTAACTGAGTACATTTACTCAAGTACTGTAGGCTAACTTGATCCATGCAAGGTACTTGTATTTTCCGTGCCACTTTCTACTTTCTAAAATATTGTACTTTCTACTTCACTTCAATTATTTAACAGCTTTAATTACTTTGCAAATTAAGATTTTGGAACACAAAACATATACATACAAACACATGTACATATACAACTGAAATTATTAGTTGAACAGAAATTTAATTGGAAACTATTTTGATAATCATTTCAATCATTTTTTAAAAATTTACCAAAAACACTCAATAATTCCAACTTCTCAAATTAGAGGATTTGCTGCATTTCCTTCTGATTATTCTAATTTCTTTTTAATACTTTCGAATTTTGTACACTGTTTTGACAATGTGAGCATTATGAACGGTATCATTTTGGGGCGACTGTGACAGCAGTTCAGAATTTTTATACACTAAACAATCAATCGATTAATGGAGAAAATAACATGCAGTTTAATCACAAAAAAAAAACAGTTCTATACAAAGTACTTCAAAATTAGTTTTACCTCAACCAAGTACAATCCTTTAAATGACTTTATTAGTTTATAATGACATGGTAGGGTAAGGCTACTTTAAGTACATGTTTACTGATTATAGTGCACTAACATACCCTACTTAATATTGTAGTGACATTTTACAGTTTTTGCATTGCAGGACTTTTAACTTGTACTTAAAAAGTACTATTTTTACAGTGTGATATTGGCATTGACCTTCAAACACAATGCCACTTATAATATATCTATATATATAATCTATATGTATATAGATATCCAAAATGTAAAATCATAGACCTTAATGAAGTTCAATAGTAGGGTAATTTAGCGCAAACATGTTGCTAAACAGTGCGTGGTATTCTTTGGCATTATTTAATCTGTTAAAAATATAATATAAAGAGTCTTCAGCATTTGCAAAAGATCTCTACTTTGTGCTTTTATTTTTTAATAAAAACGGAAGTGGCGTTTTCTTAATTCGGTTAGTTTGGCGCACCTTTCCTCACAGAAAACCAAATATTCCGGGTATTTTACTGGTTTTCCGATTATAAATTGAACACGAAGAATTTTAAGATCGTATTTTTTTCGTATAAGAAGAGAAAAAGAAAAAACGTTCAACATCTACGCGGTGTCATCGGACACTTTTAAAAGCAAGCAACACTTCCGTCAACGAGGACATCTTTCAAAATAAAGGCGTTTTGTGTCGCCAACCTTCAGCAGTCGACTGAAAAAACAACAACAAATAAACAAAACAGGTGACATTATGTATCGTAGACGTGTCCCATTTATTCCGCAACAGCTGTTTGTCGCCACTAATTACACGACTTGACAAGAGTCGTCGCCGAGGGGCCGTCGCACAGAAATGACGCGGCTGAAGAGGGCACACGTGGGTACTGGCGCATGAGGACGTCAACACCGTCAACACCGTCAACACCAACAAACCTGCTCCACAAACAAGGTGTGTTTACGCGCATCGTGTCGTACGTTCGTCAACATGTTTTGTCAAAATAATGCCATTAGGTAACATTTATGAAGTTTATTAGAAAACGACGAAGACAAGTGAACGATACAGCCTCATATGTGCAGTGAGGCTGACAACAGCATGAGTGTGTGTGTGTGTGTG